CCTCAACCCTACTGCTCCCTTCGAGCCTCCGTGCCTACGACTTACAGTCGGCCCGCACCGGGTATCTTGGCCTACTGCGTAAGCAGGACCGCCTCAACCCCAACCAAATGCCATAGACGATCATGAGAAAGATCTAACCCGGTTCCCAAAACCTGAATGATAGGATATTCTAATCCCAAACCTTCCCAAAACTGACTAATATCCATTTAGATCCACTCTCAGTCCCTAACTGGAGTATTACCCGATCCAAGAAGATGAAACCTCATAGGCACTCCGAACTGATGGGATCACCAAGATCCTTTGCACTCCATCTGATCTCTAACAACACACTTCCGATCAAACAAGATACACTGGAGTCTTCAGCCTACTCCCGCAGCATGTTCAACACTCGGAACAGACCTATTGATTGCTATAGCATAGCAGGCCTACTCAATAACCCGAACATAGATCTACGAAAATATACAGAGTCTTCAGCCTGACTGGACCGTCCTACCAGGCCTTCAGTCTATCTGGACCACTCTCAGAACCTTCAGCATGTCTGGACCGCCTCTCTGGGCCTTTAGCCTGTCTAGACCGTTCTAAACCGTTGAGCATCTCCCTGGACCACCCCTCTTGATGCTCTCTCCCATGCATCCTGTTCTCACCCACTTGGGGCTTCGAACTCCTGATCTACTAGTGGATTATATCCCCCAGCCTAACCCTAGGTCTCATGTCGATTGTCCACCTCTCGGAAATCCGTGGTCTGTTCCCTGACCCGCGTGTCTACTACACACGCTAAATAACCCGCACTCCTGTGCTGAGTGTATTGTCGAGCCCTGGCAGCTAACAAAACCCTCAATCTATCAATCCAAAGACCCTTAGAGTCGAGCACACCCTCGACCGAATACTTGAACTGAACTCAAACCATGATCAAAACTCCAACCTGATTTCCACGAATTCTGTTATCTATCATCGAGAAGACGTGATACACATGCTGGGGAGTTTTACCAAACTCCCAACTCACACAATCCTCCAACCCAACAGCCACTTGGTTTTTTTGTCTTCCTGCCAATGGTGCGAGACTTATCCCATTCAACACCGCTCCTGCTTCTGTACCTGGGACGATTCTCCCCCACTTAGATTCGACCTAAGTCTTCACAATACATGGACATTGGGGAAGTTCCCAACCCTTCTCACTTTCCCACAATCGATCCGATGACAACCAACTCTTTCCCAATTGATCACACACTTCTAATAACCAGATGAACACTTTCTGTATCCCAGTGCAACCGACGGTCACTAATGCTTGAATGGCCCCACCCTCATGTCTTGGAGACCAAAAGATAAATTCTGCAAATAATACCTCAGCCACGCACCACTTCCCTTGGCGCTTTCCTCCGCCAATCAATAATGCTTACTAAAACCACTGAATCCTGACAATGATGAATAACCATCTTGTGGGACCCTGTCCACAGACCTCCCACATAATACCCTTCTTCCCAAAGCATTCTAACAATCCTCCCGCTTTCGACTCTAGAACTCATCATTCAGGGCCTCGCACCCTGACTCACTCACCAGCTCAATCATCCACCGCTGAACTGCAGTAGTTGAAACAACCTTTGCCCTAGACCAGGCTACAATCACTTCCAAGACGTAGTCTACAATCCCGAAAGTGCAATATATCGCACCAACAATCCTTAGCGTCTGATACAAGAGATCCAAGGCGAAATGGACCTCCAAAAATACTTATGCTACATCGACCCACCTGCGCTTACCAGCGCTAAACCATTGTCGCCAATCCCGGCGACCAACTAACCTCGAGTAAGAATACAACCTGATCATGGGGTCACAAGCCTACTCACTCCTTCGAGCTCGGAAAACTGAAAGGGCACAATCCTTGTCTTAGAAAACGACAGTCCAATCCATCAATTAACCATTTTAATTCCAGTTGCATAACTCCAGCTGAACATAATCATTACTCCTTTCCAGAGTCCCCGCGACTCACATTCCGGCCTCGAACAAACCCCTTGAAGCCTCAATCTAGAATTGCATGTTCTAGACTCTCCCGCTTAACCCGCAGACTGTAACAAGTACAAAACATCTCACTGATCCCAAGTAGCTGCAGCTCTCTGCTCCTCAGAATACGTCCCAATAACAAGTCCCCACCAATTCTTCGCCCCGGACCTTAGCAGGTTCCGAGCGTGCCTGACCTTCTGGTCAGTAGAACATGAATATGTGAAGCAACATCCTTTCATGTCATATGGTACCTCATGGCTATGACCGGGTCCCGAACCCTATCAAAAGTAGGGGCTTCACATCATCGAAGTCCCGATACTAGAAAGCCTAACTGGCTCCTCCCTCTGTCGTTGTTACAGCTGCTATAGCTGCCACGATAATCGTCTCGGCACTAGCTGCATAGCGCTCGTCGAAATACTCGACCATAACGGTCTTGATAGACCCAAACATCTCCGCCAACTGTCCCCGAACAATCTCAATCACCTCCTCCCGGATGATCTCACAGACACGATCCTCTAAAAATGCAGGCCTATCCTAGCTGCCAACTCCCGACCCTAACCTGGGTCCGGTCTCAAGACGTCTCGTAACCACCATTCTGGTAAGACACCAGAAAGATCTCTGATAATGCATAATATAACAGGGGACCAACTCCTTACCCAACCCTAGGGGTTGTGACTTCCTTGCTACGCGTATGGGTCCTGTGCTTTCAGTAGTACGCGCCCATAATACCTTCCACACCTACCCATATTTGTCTCAAGTATCACCACAACACCCTACTAATACAGATAGCGACGAAGGAGCTCACTTCCACGACATAGGAAATGATCATGGGATGAGGAAAAGAAAGAAAAGGTGTAAGGCGAGGAGATATCGAGAGGTAGAATAGGTGAAATGAGTCCGTATTGTTCACAAAATTGCGGGTCTTCCTTTTCATCTCCGATTACTCGATAATTTCCACAAGCACAAATTCCACTTTTGATAGGCCCAAAAATTCTTTCACAAAATAATCCATCTTTTTCTGGTTTATTGGTTTTGTAATGAAAGGTATAAGGTTTTGTCACCTCTCCAATTATCTTGCCATTAGGCAAGATTTTTTTGGACCAAGTACTTATTTGTTAAGGAGAAACTATCCAATTCGGAGTTGTTGATGTGTATATCGATCGATCATAGAAGAAAACTTCTGCTTGATTTCGATTAAGCTTCCTTCCTATTACGCTGGAAAGTCTTCTCAGATACAAGAGAATGATTCAGTTCCAGAGCTAAAGATCATAGTGACCGAAACATGCCACTAAAAGACTCTACTGAGACAAAGATGGGCTGTCAAGAACGTAGAAGAGGTAGGATGGACAGTTATTCAGATCTAGTATGGATCGTACATGGACGGTAGTTGGAGTCGGCGGCTCTCCTAGGGTTCCCTTATCGGGGATCCCTGGGGAAGAGGATCAAGTTGGCCCTTGCGAACAACTTGATGCACTATCTCCCGACTATGAATCGAACCAGATCGAAACATTCAGCTGTCGACGGACACACTTTGTCGGAACGTCGACCGCAAACGAAGGATAGCCAGGCCCCAGTTCCTAGGTTTAGGGTATTCCCTATTATGTTATGAGCCTACTCAGATCAGAACTAGTTTATTCTCTTTCGCCTATCGGCCGGACGACTTTAAGCAACCTTCGCATTTCTTGCTGAGATCCCAAGTCTCCAAGTAGGCCCTCTTGGCCACCCACGACCTTGGCTTTTTAGAGAATCCCGCTCCTATCTTTTCCTCTTGTAAATGTTCATGTGAATAAATTAAATTTCACGAAGCTCATTTATGTTTCAAAATATGGAACCTTCAAACTTGTAAATAATTTGAAAAACTAATGATATAATTTCTATCAAAAGAAACAAAAGCAAATATTTGTATGTCTTACGAAAACCTTATTGAGGCCTAACTCACTTTAGCACTATGTGTCACATCCCAAAAATTCGAGCCAATTTAAAACTTTTTGATTCAGTTGAAACCATTCAATTATTACAATTTGTTTTCAAAATAATTCATACATCAGAGTTCCCAGAAATCATAATCGTAAATCGAGGAAGTGTACAGTCACGCCTTCGCCTACCTGCGGCCATCCGTTGAACCTGAAACAATAAACTGAAATTGTAAGCCCGAAAGCTTAGTGTACCCCCAAAATACCAACCTCATATAACCATAATCATATCATATCAACAAATACAGAACATCCATGCATCTCGAGTATACAGTATGATTGGTCCGCCTGCACCGGGCCTTCAGTCCACCTGGTCCACTCTCTGAGTCTACAGTATGACTGGACCGCCCGAACTGGGCCTACAGTCTATCTGGATCTATCCCGAGCCTTCGGCGTGACTGGACCGCCATACGGGCCTACAGTCTATCCGGACCGCTCGTAGGGTATGTTGGCCTTCAGCACGAAGCATGACCGCCTCAACCCAAACATCAAGAAAATGACCATGTGCACATATAACAGGTAATCACACAACAACCCATAGACAGACAAACCGATCTAGCAGATCATATAGTATAGCAACATCCTAACCAGGATACCGACCTAACTGGTCACTAACATGCATCATCCTATATTACCAGGATACCGACCCTAACCAGGTCACTAAACATAATATCGTCCTAATTACCAGGACGCCGATCTAACAGATCAATAAACATATCCACAATCCTATAACCAGGATATCGACCTAACCGGCCACTAACATAGCATATCACCATCCTAACTACCAGGATGTAAATCAGTAAGCATATCATGCAATGATCCAAATACAAACCATAAAGGGCCGGCATTGGTGCCTTAGACCATGTTGATATAGTGAGGATAACTCACCTTGCAACTGCCGAACCGAAACACGAAAACACTGGCCCGAAGCACTGCTCCAAACTCCAAAACCTGATGCCATCAATGAACCATGACATAAATATCCAAAATACCATAACACCCCTGAAGGTCAAACAGGTTAAAGTCAAAGTCCTAGCCAAAGTCAACCTTCCTGATTGACTCTACTCGCCGAGTCAACCCGTCGACTCATCGACTTCCCAACTTCAGAAAACTCTTATATCACAACTCGACTCGCCGAGTCACTCCATGACTCGTCGAGTTTAACGATCTCTGAGTCCTATCTTGTCCAACTCACTGAGTCACCACTCAACTCACTGATCTGAGTCTTAACCAGAAGAGGTTGGGGTTTTGCGTTCTGACTCGTCGAGTCCACGACAATCTTCAACAGACTCGCCGAGTTGTTCCTCCAACTCGTCGAGTTCATGCCTATCTTCAACAGACTCGCCGAGTCCAAGAACAGACTCGCCGAGTCTCTTCAGTCCTTTATACATGCAGAGGCTTTTCGAGTCTTGCAGGGGCTCCAAACTGTAGATCCACTCTTCTAGGGCATGACTCTCACGTAAAGTTGCAAGCTTTACGTGGAAACAAGGAGTTATAAGCCCAAATCACTCTAGGGTTAAGGTTTAAGACAATGATGCTTCACCAACAAGCCAAAGGCTGATACTTTGTGAGGTTCTGGACCAAGACAAGTCTAGATCTGAAGTAGCAACCTCGGATCTAGACCCCTAACCCGAATTAAATTCCTTAACATGCCAAAATGGCCCCAAATATCATTCTAGAATAGATATAAATGCAATAGAGTCAAGGTAACAGCTTGTTACCTCTAAAATATGCCCAAGCTGAAGTAGATTCTGGATCTACACAAATTCGTTGATGCTCTACACTTTGATTTACAAGCCTTCTTTGCTAGAATCTCCTTCCAAAGCTTCCAAGTTCACTCCATAGGCTCACACACGATTCTAGGGTTTTCTGACTCTCAAGGGGTGACAAAGAGGTTGAGGTGAGGACTTAAGGTCCTTTAAATAGGGTGCAAGCCCTGAGATTAGGGTTTTCTCTTCCCAGCACCAACTCGTCGAGTCCAACTTCCGACTCGGCGAGTTGGTCACTTAATTCGCGACCAAATCCCGATCCGACTCGACGTGTACTCGCACCTACTCATCGAGTAGCTTCCTCAATGTACACTTTAAGCCCTTATATCATATTTCTGAAATTTGGGATGTTGCAATATGATAAGGAAGTGAAGGCAGTGACGGAGTCAAGGTCAAATTAAAAGGGTAGTTCAAACCGATGGCTCGGTTCCTCGATTTTCTAAACTCGGTTTCGGGTTTAAACTCAAACCCATTCGAAAGTTTAATATGCTGAGAATTAAGAAGCTTGTGTTGTTTATATAATAGATGTATATTAGCTATCTTTCATATAATGACTGATGTGAGACAATTTTAGAATTATAAGAAACAAGTTGAATGAATATAGAATAGAAACTGAAAAACAAAATAAAATACACTCATGTCAAGACCGAGATTTGAAATAGGGACATCCAAGTTAAAAGTTCAGCACTATACCACTTTGACAACTTAATACTTTTGTTTAATTTTCACATCATAATATAATAGGTATAAAATCTGTATAATGCTATATAAAATCATTTTATATAGCTGCGAAAATAAAAGAAAAGAAATGTTAGAAAAAAGATTCGAACTTGCAACCTTCAAAATAGCACCTATCACCATAACCACCTTAGCCAAACTATAACTTTTGTTGTTATTTCACTAAACATATTTATATTAAGTACCTCAATATAAACGAAACCTTTCTGAAATATTTTTGAGTAGTATCCCAGGATACCCTGGGATCGAATGTAGATCCGACCATGATTGAAGGTGACTTGAGAAGAGACCGTTGGACTAACAAATTTATCAACAACAATACAACAGATCACCGAACTGATTGCATATGAGTGAACTTAATGACTATTTAAAAGGGTGACCTAATTGTCAATAATTCTGTGTGGTCACATTATCAACATGTTACAAGTTACATGCTAGGTGTTTTCAAATAAAAATCAAATTTTGATGATTAAATACTTTTGAGAAATCCAACTAGAATAATTATGAACATGAGTTACTCTTTGTTAATATTCTCTTTTTTGTAAAAGATAAAACGTTGACATGGCAATTCACCCTACAATGTAAAACCCCTAAAGGCTAAACATCTTTTGTCTGACTCCTTTTTTGTTCTTTTCTTGATTTTTAGGAGAGGAAAACGCACCAAATAACCCAATTCAGACAATATTCTCCAGTAAAGAATTCGTGGATACCCAATCAAAAGCTCAAAAATCTCTCTTACCTCCAATTCATCCCAAATTCCCAATCAAAATATTTTGTAACTAGGGTTCCTCTTCTCGGGTGCGTTTTCCCGGAATCTTTGCTTGATTGTCGCGGAAAACATCATCGCCCGATTACAAATTCATTATCAATAATTGCTTTGCGTCATCTTCATGTGTGGGCTTCCATAATTTCAGGGTACTTGATTGCTCCAACTTTTTTGGGATTTTACTACTTCAATCTTGTAATTTCATGTTTTGTATCTTTTGATTGATTGACACAGTATCAGGTAGGGCGAAAGAGAGGAGTTTTGGTCAATAGTTGGTGAAGATGACGACTAGTCAGTCGGGTTCTTCACGGAGAAGTATGGTTTTGACAGCTTCATCTAGGAAGCAAGCTTCTGAAAATGGTGCCAATGATTCCAGCCGAAGATCCATCACTACTCCTCGTCCCATGTACGTTTTCTTCAATCCCTACTCGATTTCAATCATCGAGATTTTCCAATGATTAATTCACATCTAGATTACACCTCCTATCTACAAACATCGCAACAAAACCAATAATTTCAACGAGATCGAATCCCCCTTCCACCTTTGTTTCATTACGTTGACTATTCTAAACAGGGGGCCAGTCGGAGAACGCACAGTGAAGCGATTGCGTCTCTCAAAAGCCTTAACAGTTCCCGAAACCACAACAATCAATGAAGCCTGCCGCCGGATGGCCGCCCGGAAAGTCGACGCCCTTTTGCTCACAGACTCAAACGCCTTACTTTGCGGCATATTAACCGACAAGGTATCTTTTTCGCTCTAAAAATCTTCATTATCCCCATTAATCATAAACAATCTTCACTAACTAGCTTTTAACCTAATCAAAGGATATTGCAACAAGAGTCGTCGCTCGTGAGCTTGATCTTGAAACCACCCCTGTATCAGCAGTAATGACAAGAAACCCAGTTTTTGTAATCTCTGATACTCTCGCTGTTGAAGCCCTGCAAAAAATGGTGCAAGGTTTGTCTCAACTCTCAATCAAGAACACGACACTCTCATCTCCATAGTTTCTTTAAAACCTCGGAATTTAAAACTTCTCTTACAGGAAAATTCAGACATTTACCCGTTGTAGAAAATGGAGAAGTTATCGCGATTCTTGACATTGCAAAATGTTTATACGATGCAATTGCTCGAATGGAAAGAGCAGCTGAAAAGGGGAAAGCCATTGCAGCTGCTGTTGAAGGCGTTGAAAAGCATTGGGGCACTTCCGTTTCTGGTTCGTTGACATTTTTTTCTTCGTCTTCCCTTTTCATCTTTGACTAATTACAATATTACATTCACTTATTATCTAGGTTCCAATACGTTTATTGAAACACTTAGAGAACGATTATTCAAGCCCACTTTATCCACCTTTATCTCAGATAATTCAAAGTAGGTAATACTACCTTAATACCTTTACTTTAATCATTCATTAACATAAATTTTTCACAAACTTGAATAAATTATAAAATTGTTCATATATTTCAGGCTTGTGACAGTTTCGCCCTCTGACACAGTTCTAATGGCAACAAAAAAGATGTTGGAGTGTCGCATTAGCTCTGCTGTTGTGACAGTTGATAGCAAACCAATTGGGATTTTAACGTTAGTTTTTGTAATTATTTATATAATGTGAATAATTATTTTAGTAATTGTAGTAACATTTTGTTTTGTATTTATTGTATTATAGATCAAAGGATATATTGATGAGAGTTATAGCATTAGGGCTTCCTCCTGAATCAACAATGGTGGAGAAAGTAATGACTCCAAATCCAGAATGTGCTAATATTGATACACCTATTGTTGATGCCCTTCATATAATGCATCATGGAAAGTTTTTACATCTTCCTGTTTGTTGATAGAGGTAAATATTTTGTTTAATTTGATTGTTTTGGGACAAAAAATGTTGAATTTGTAGGATTTATATATATCTAAATGTGGTTATTCTTTTTTTTTTTTGATGTAGAGGGAATTGTTGTTGCTATTATTGATGTACTCCACATTTCTCATGCAGCTGTAGCCTCTGTAAGTCTTTTTTTTTTTTTTTTTTTTTTTTTTGTTGACTTAATGGGTTAAGAAATTAATCTGGACATGTATATGACTGTTTCTTTTTTACTTAATCTGTTAAGACATTAAGCTTTTACCTATTTACCCTTCTTTTTTCCTCCCAACTTCTTTAATGTTATTCCTTTATGTTTTTTTTTTTATTTTTTTTATTTTTTTTTATCATTGTTTCCATGTAGATATGATTATGAACTTCTTTATATATTTATAAGCATATAAAATTAATAATTTCTACTTGCTTATAGGTTGATAGTGATACCTATGTAGTTTTTACACGATTGCATGAATCATGAGAAAAAATATAATATTACAATTTTTTAATCGTAATATTAGTTACTATATTGCAAAAGCATTAAAGAATTATGGTGAAATACATAAAGAGTTAACTCATGCAACTACATATTCCTGGATTCTTTTCAGTTCAATAAACATTAAATTTATAGGTATACTTGTGAATAATGAGTAATTTGAACTTTTGAATTGATGATAAATTATGATCAACATTTTTAAAAGTAATCATTTTTTGATTAGATATACATTTGCATTACTATTTATAAAGGAATAACCTGTGATCTATAACTGTTGTTTTAAATAAGCAGTCATTTGTTATCTACCATAATTTCTATATATAGAAGGGCAAAATGGTCATTTTCTCAATATATTTTATTCGTATAGGTAGGAAGTACTGCAGGAATTGATAATGAGGCTGCAAGTTCAATGATGCAAAAGTTTTGGGATTCTGCCATGGCAACAGCTCCTGCAGATGATGACAGTGATTCCATAAGGTAATAAATATGCCACGTCGTCATTTTTATTAAAAATAATAAAAAGTTGGTTTGACTTTTTTTTGTTGGTCAACTTTAACAAAACTAATGAATTTTCACTTTTCAGTGAGAGCTCTTTCAAATTGGCTTCTGATCAAGGGGCTGAAATTGGAAAAGTCATTCCCTACCCTTCACCTACAGTGCACAATACATTTGCTTTCAAGATTCAAGATAGAAAGGGTCGAATGCATAGATTTATTTGTGGTATATATTTCTTATTATTTATTTATTTTTTTTTATATAAATTTTATTGTATTTTGATTGTTTGTGTATATTTTGAGGTCAGAAACTCATAGTTTGACGGATCTTATAACCGCTATACTTCAAAGAGTAGGTGGTGAGATTGATCGGAATAACCTCCCTCAGATTCTGGTATGTCTTTGTAAATAATTACAAATTTGGTCCTTGTACTTTACTCAAAATAGCAAAGCTTAGTCCAACTTTTGAAATCGTCTCAATATTGTTCTTAAGTTGTCATTTTATTACGGATATGGTCCCTGCCTTTTACTCAAAATTACAAGTTCCTTTTCTTTTATACAGCCTAGGGACAATATCTGAAACTTAAGGACATCATTGAGATGATTTCAAAATTTGGACTAAACTTCCAGTTTTAGATAAAGTATAGGGACCAAAGCTTGCAACTTTGGCCCTTATTGCAAAAATCAGCCATACTTGGTGTGACTAAAAGTAATCATTTTTCATGAAACAAGGACCAAAATTGCAAAACTAAAGTTTACTCAGGGACCGAAAATTTAATTTAATTTTATTTCAGGTAAGTTATGTTTTTGGTCCCGAAAAGTTTTCTTTTGCAATTTTGGTCTTTATTTTAGGTTCTTGTAACGTTTTTGGTCCGTTTTCAATGTATAGTAATGATTTTTTGGTCCCAAAAATATAGTCATTTAGATGGAACAACAACGAAAATTGTTACAAAAACCTTAAATAATGACCACCAAAATTGCAAGAGGAAACTTTTTGGGACAAAATTTTGAAAAAACCAGGGACCAAAAATGTAATTTACTCATTTACTTAAAATTGGTTTTATATATATGTTGTAGTATGAAGATGAAGATAAGGATATGGTGATACTTGCAACAGATAGCGATCTTGTTGCAGCTGTCCAACATGCAAGATCAGCTGGATGGAAGGTGTGTGTGTGTGTGACTGTGTGTGTTTGCCTCTTTTAAATCATATATAATAATATGTATACAATTGAATATAAAACGTTTTTCTTTTAATTTTTCAAATAGAAAAAGATAAAAGTTTTGTATTGATTAAATATAAAACATGTTTTCTTTTTTATAATTTTATAATTTCATCTCCAAGCATATTACTATTTTAATGATATTAACTTTTCAAGAATTTTGATGAATTCAAACAGGGACTAAAGTTGCATTTGGATTACTCTGGGGTGCCTAGAAATCGAAAAGGTTCACTGGCGGCAGGTGGCGGCGGTGGTGGTGGTTTGGAGCATGCTCATCCGGATGCATGGGCTTCTGCTTACAGCTCTGTGGCGGCCGGAGCTGCGTTAGTGGCTGGTTTAGGTGTATTGGCCTTCTTGAGAAGGGGAAGCTGAGAGACAAAAAGCTTTGTTTATTTTTGTTGCAATTATTTCAAGGATATGATACGTGTCCTTGTGAACCATTTGAAAGGGTGATGACTACAATGATTGATAATGTCGAAAAATTAAGATTTGTATACGCAAGAAAGATGTTTCATATAAACACTTGTATTATTGAATCATGATTGATCTTATTTTGGGTTTTCAATAAATAAAGGGATTTGGGTTTGGAGTTTTTTTGCAAAATGGGGTTGTTTCTATTTTCATTTGTAAAATTTGGTTATTTATAGATGCTAATTCGGTTAAATCTAATTGAGTCTATAGATAGTAAATGTGTAGGTTTAAAAATAAATGAATTGGTAGTTGTAGAATACTATTCTTGTGAGACTTAAACCATATTAAAATTAAAATCAACATTATTAAAAATAAGGATTCGACCCATTTTGCACCCGAACTGGATCATAGAGCTTAATCTGATCGAATAAAAGAAATGACCGCATCAAAGTCTTTTAAATCAAACATCTAACTGAGTTAGATTTAGAGCTGACAATAGATCGATCACGGTTGGGTTTGGGTTCAACCAATTTATTAATTAGGTTGAATACTTCAACTCAACCCAACCTTTTTATTTAAATGAGTGGATATTTTCAATCCAACCCAACATTTCAGATAAATGTGTTGTCACCGGGACCCGTTTATGTAATTCTCAACTCAACCTATTAAATAAATGGGTTAAACTTGGGTTAACCCATTTAAAATAAATAAAATAACTAAAGATTACACTGACTTAAATTAGCTCCAAACTTAAATAAACTTTCAAAGTATAATAAAAACACAATCCTAATTCACAAAATACAAAGAAATTGTTCAAATAACATTAAAGATATACAATTTCAAAGTGATTTGGAAAAGTGACTAGTGTTGTTAGTGTTGTCGACGAAAAAAAAAATATAAGAATTAGGATTGCATTTAAAAAAAATACCAATACAACATTGTAATTTATGAACTAATACTTAAATTAATATATGGTAATATTTAAATAATTATTAAATTAAATATATATTAAAGTTAAATGGGTTGGTGGATTGAAAATGAGTTGATAACTTTTATCCAACTCAACCTATTTAATTAAATGGGTTAGGTGCGTTGACTCATTTAACCTAAATGGGTTGAAAATCTCAACAAAATCTACTAATTTTGGATTGGGTTCGGATTGGATTGGTGGATTAGATCGATTTTTACCACCTCTAGTTAGATTAAGTATCTAACTGAGTTAGATTAAGTCTTGTCAAACTTAAAACTTAAAAGACATCGAATATTCTTTTACAGTTTTGATTTTTGAAACTGGCAAAATATATAAATAAGCACCCACAACTAACAAGAAACTAGACGAGGGGAAAATGTAGCAAGAAAATATCTTTTTACTGTTGGTCTGCAACTATGGGGTTGTGCCCCACTTCAACGACCAAGGCACCAAATGTGTATTAGTTGCATTTATGATTTACTTTTGAACCCCTTTGATATATATATATATATATATATATGAGTTAGGTTATTTTGTTTTTACTAACTATTGTGTGTCAAAATGCACAGATCTAGACCATCGGATTGAATATAATCAAAGGTCATGGGTCTATGATAGTAGAATATGATAACATGTACCATATAATCACACAAATTTCAGCATAAGAGCATTTTAGTCAATTAACCTATATTAAAAAAAGGAAATTTTCGGATTTTTAGGGATGATTAATTCCTTTATTTTTTAAAAATCTGAATATTTTAAATTAATTCAAATTTAAAAATCCGATTTTATTCTGTCAGAATGATAGAATGCCAACCATAAACTAGTAAATATATTTTTCGATTTTATTCTGTCAGAATGGCAGAATGTCAACCATAAACTCGTAAATACATTCTGAAAGAATACACAAATCAATTCTTGAACTAATAATATAACAAATAATTACATTGTATGATTGTGATTCATTGAATAATAACAACATTCTGAAAGAAAAAATAAAAAAAAAACATCAAAATCTAACAAAAACACTAATCTATTCTGAAAGAATATTATTTTTAAGCAACACTTTATACATTGTAGCATAACACATTCTGGTATAATACACTCTCGTTCTATATGTTTTCTTCCTTCTCCACATCAATGTTAGCCTCTTCAAAACCTAAATCCACAAAGAAAAGATAATCAAGTTTCAAAAATTAAACAATTCAATACATTCTAATAGAATATAGCAATAAATATTCTTACAGAATAACTATTCTTGCAGAATGGTTTTGAATATTCTTAAAGAATTTGTAACATTAAAAAAATCATTTGTTGGGGATTGAATGATTCAACTCCACTAATACAAAACACAAACCCTGAATTCTTTCAAAATCGCTATTTTACACCTGTTTATTGTTTTTTTACATTCTAAATCAAAACCGAATGACATTGATACTTCCATGAAAACAATCCTTGAGCAAGCTATATTTACAGACTTCAAAAACATATTACAGCCTTATTCTCCAATGGAGAAAGAAAAACACCCCTACATGGCGTGTTTATTAACAGGCTATTCACAAATATCATACAAATCAATCATATGCAACTCCATTCATAGCATTCTATGTAGAAAAAAATCAATGAATATTAACAAAGACTTACATGTGCATCAGATTTACTCATGCCTCAAAGCTCCTGATAATGCTGCTTTGTAAAGGCCTCATATTCATATGAATGTTCTTCTTGATAAAATCCCTCAACTCAATAAGATTTTCACTTGGGTCTTTTGGGAAGTCCTGATTTGATTGAATTTTCGTGTTCCTTTTCCTGTCAAATGAATTAAACCCAAACACTCATTTGGGTTCTACCGATCACTGCCAAACATCTAAAAAAAACTGAGATACCTTCTGCGTTTGACCTCTAATCACCGAACAATCTATCCTCCAACCTTTCTTTTCCTTCCGTCAATCCTTGCTGCCAAATCGTTCCCACCTGATGTCGCTGAAGTCCTGATTTGATTGAAACGATTCATCAAAAATGGAAGCTAGCAAGTAAAGATTAGCAAAAAGTGAGAAAAATCATATAATGTACCTTTTCCCAGTTCGGATTCAAGATTACATCCATGGTGATTGTACCTTCCAGGATTAAAATCAAGAAGATGAAGATAAGGTGGAGGCGTGAGGACCTTTGATAGAGCAGCGATGGTGGGGATCGTATTCATAAACTGAGATACCTTCTGCGTTTGACCTCTAATCACCGAACAATCTATCCTCCAACCTTTCTTTTCCTTCCGTCGATCCTTGCTGCCTAATCGTTCCCACCTGATGTCGCTGAAGTCCTGATTTGATTGAAACGATTCATCAAAAATGGAAGCTAGCAAGTAAAGATTGTGGAGGGGGGAGGAGCTATTTCGATTGGAGAAAGGATGCAAAGAGGAACACAAGCCCTAGGTTGAAACAGAATGGTCGTTCAATGCAGACGAAAAAGAGGGTGATATCTAGGGTTTTAAACTGATTTCCATTATTTAAAGGAGGCATTAAATGATTTATTATTTTTACCATAATTAGATATTCTAAGTTTACCATTATACCCTTTTTTAATTTATTTAATGATTTATTATTTCCTGAAATCTCATTGGTGCATACATGCACACAATAGTTGGTAAAAACATTTGAACCTAGCTCATATATATATATATATATATATATATATATATATATATATATATATAGGTTCAATGGAAAACAAGTATATGATTTTTAGGGATAATTCCACTCAAAGTCAACAAAGTATTTAATATGCATTAAATTAGTCATTTAATCAGTTTTAAAGTTGATTAAAATATGTCATTATGATTTTCTATATCATTTTCTCCCTGTCCCATATTAATAATTCACGTTTTCTTTTTAATGTACTTCTAAATATAAGTATCCATTTTACCAAAATACCCCTCATTATTAGTTAACCTACAATGAAATTAAATACAACACAATGATAGAATTAAATGCAACAAAATGATACGATTGTCATTTCATTTAATAAAGTTAGTGGTAATTAATGTCTCTTTAATTTGTGTGTTTTTTTGGCCGTGAAAAATAATTTTGCAACGGGGGAGTATAATTTAACTACTATTTACAAATTTGCATCTAAATTTTATCTTTTTGACATTTGTCATTGCTAACCTTTTTCATTTACACTAAAAAAACAGTCTCATTCAAACCCTAACCTCTACAGTTTTGAGTTTTTGTATTGCTTTTGTGAGGATTGGAGAAGGAGGTCCCTTGTTGGTGCAAGGAAGTTTGGTTCCAACTTAGATCCAACACTCTCATCGAAGATTTTTGAACTATTAGAGGTATAAAGTTTCATCCTTGATCTTGTAGCACCTGGTTCCTGGTATGTATTTTATCTAAGTGTTTTGTGTTTTTGGTCTGGGACTCGGCGAGTTGAAGGCCCAACTCGTCGAGTAGAAGCGGATTTGATCTGGGATTTAAATGACGGACTCGTCGAGTCGGCTTCCAGACTCGACGAGTAGACTCTGACTGGACAAAACCCTAATCTGAGGGTTTGCACCCTATTTAAACAACCTTATGTAGCCTCCATCGCCCCTTTATGCTCCTAGAACACTCCATACAGAACCCTAGTCGTGTTGTGAAGATCTAAAGGCCTTTTTGGTGATTCTTGGTAGCTTGTGGTGGCAAGAAGGAAGGGAAAAGCTTGAGGAATCAAGAGAATACCAAGGGAGTTCAAATTTGTGCATCTTTAGCAGTTTCTAGAAGGTATAAAGTCGATACCTTCCTTGTTCATTTGCTAGATCCCTTTTTGGGGAGATTTAGGGCTTTTATAAGCCATTCTTGGCAACCAACCATGATTGCAAGTATGGTTGGGGGTTGAGGCTTCAGATCTAGGTCCATGGAGGAGTTACAAGGCAGTAAAGGGCTGCTTTTTCACCCATGGAAGCCCCCATGCAACTTAAGAGCCTCTTTTAGAGCCTTTTTGGCTCAAAGTCCCATGTATGCACGTAAAGTTCGTAACTTTACGTGCTAGATCGAGTTTAGGGACCTAGATCTATCATTTGGACAAGAGTTGTACACCAGAAATCGAGGAAATAGACTTGGGAATGTATCGACTCGGCGAGTCGTTCTTGGGACTCGGCGAGTCCGAGGCTTGGTTTCCCCTTTTCTGTTATGGTTCAAGAGACCCAGTTGAGTGATAGAAAGGTTTTAGAGG